GGGCACCTGACCAAAAAAGCCAACGGGAGGGCTATAACTTTTTAAAGTGGGAAAAAACCTTCCCTTTGTCTGTGTGTTGTGGTTCTCCAGAGAGGGAGAGCTGAGGCACAGAGCAGCAATGCTGTAAGCAGCTTTAAAACCAGGTATGAAACAGCATCAACCTCGAACCTACTGATCTGAAACCCAGATATGTAAGTAAATCAGAAATGTCTAGAAAGGGTTAGGGTTTAGGGTTATTTCTTTTATTTTGTAAGGCTTGTGGAGTCCTCTGTGCTAACGCCAGATGCTTTTGTTTTGCTTGTAACCTTTAAGCTGAACCTCAAGAGCGCTATCTTGATGCTTAATTTTTGTAATTGTTCCTTTTAAATCCAGCAAAAAGCCGAAGTTCCAAATGTAGTCCCTTTCTTTTTGGGTTTAATAAAATTTACCTTTTTAAAGAACAGGATTGGATTTTTGTGTGCCAAAGAGGTTTGTGCACCTGTTGTTTAATTAGCTGGTGGCAACAGCTGATTTCCTTTGTTTTTTTTCCTCAGCTCTTTCCTGGAAGAAGCGGGTGAAAGGGCTTGAGGGTACCCCACAGGAAGGAATTCTCAAGTGTTCCTTCCTGGGTTCTCAGAAGGTGGGGGGAGGGGGAGGGGAGGGGGAAGGGGTTGCACTTGGGTGGTGGCAGCATCTACCCATCCAAGGTCAGAGAGAAGCTGTGACCTTGGGAGTGACTTTAATTTTCCTGATATCTGCTGGGAGAGCAATACAGTGGTGCACAGACAATCCAGGAAGTTTTTGGAAAGCATAGGGGACAATTTCCTGGTGCAAGTGCTAGAGGAGCCAACTAGGGGGGGAGCTTTTCTTGACCTGCTGCTCACAAACCGGGAAGAATTAGTAGGGGAAGCAAAAGTGGATGGGAATCTGGGAGGCAGTGAGCATGAGTTGGTTGAGTTCAGGATCCTGACGCAGGGAAGAAAGGTAAGCAGCAGGATATGGACCCTGGACTTCAGGAAAGCAGACTTCGACTCCCTCAGGGAACGGATGGGTAGGATCCCCTGGGGGACTAACATGAAGGGGAAAGGAGTCCAGGAGAGCTGGCTGTATTTCAAGGAATCCCTGTTGAGGTTACAGGGACAAACCATCCCGATGTGTCGAAAGAATAGTAAATATGGCAGGCGACCAGCTTGGCTTAACGGTGAAATCCTAGCAGATCTTAAACATTTATCCATTGTAGGTTAGGTTAATATGTATTGAAAAGTTGGTATTAAAGTGCCCCATTGTGCTGATCTAATATAAACAATATGAGATATAAATGAATCAGAGAAATTCTGGAAACAGACATAGAAAGCAACATACGCCAACATCCATATTAGTTAACCGCCATGTTAGTTAATATCCGCTCCTGCAAAAGCCATGTCTTACCTCATGTCAAGGTTATGGAAAATAAGTAACTAAGACTCAAATGAACTCGGTGGAATTGTGACACAAAAGGTATCTTGAGACATATCCACCTTGACTTCCTCAGGACTCCTCTATTCTGGGAAGTACTCCCCAGACACTCTCAGGTAAAACTGGTTAATATCAGTGTCAAAAGTGTGATGGGGAATTCACAATACTCTGGATGCAGAGGAAGAAATGATTCCAGGATCAATGTTTCTACAAGGTAGCATACTCCTTACCCGCCCTTGCACATGCAATACTTTGTAAAAATCTGGGGTTTTGCGGTCAAGAAAAATTACTATAAAAATGATGCATGAAATATGGTGTGACAATCAGCTACTGTGGATTTAACCAAGGGATGGTGGTAAACGTCCTTGGATACGGAGTCACAGGAGAAGTCTGCTTCCATGACTGATTTTGTACATTTTGAATTTAAGGTGCTACCCTTCTAATTAATGCAGCAGGAATAATCCTCAACCTGCTCTTCTGGGATAGAAATAGAGTGTGGGAGTGACTGTGACCTGGCTGGCTCCATGTTGCCCTTTTTGGTTATAGCTGTGGCAGCTGCTCGCTGAACCATGCTTCTCTTTGCCAGCAATTCATTTCTTTCCCCTCCTGCTATCTGAGACCTGTTTAATAGCAGTGGTGTCCAAGGGAAAGAGTCAAGACCACATCATCTAAAAATCCAACAAATTGTGTCTAGTGCCCAGATCCTCAAAGGTATCCAGGCCCCTGACTCCCACTGGCTTCCTAAATACCTTTGAAGATCTGGGCCTGGGACCCTAACACTGTAGTGTCTCCCCTACCATTGGCAACAGGGGCCAGTGCTCAAATCTGACACTTTATTTCACTCTCTTCCACCAGTGTAGTGTCTCTCCCAAACCCCACCCACCTGCAGCTCACCTAACGGGGGAGAGGAAGCCCAGTACAGTACGTTATGTGTCATTCTTTAGCTACACACCAAGATGTGGATTCCAGATCTAGGGCTTGGGGTCTTGAAATAGACAACTGCTTAGAATATAAGACAGCACATTTGAATGTGTCGGTGGCGCTGGTATCCCTGGAAGCACCAGGGAAATCGTAAATACCTCAGTGCAGTTTATATACTGGTGTATTGACGTCACTCTGAGCATCAAGTTGCACATTCACATAAGCTGCAAGTGTGTTTGCTCGGGGATTGAAAAGAATCTATTTACTGCATTGAGTGAGATTTTTTTCTTCATCCCACAAAGGTTGAGAAATTTACACTAGAGCAACAATTCCCACAACAGTTGTATTTAGGCACTTTGACCTTATAGATTGGCAGTGTTGTTGTAGGCATGTTGTTCCCAGGATAGGAAAGAGACCTAAACTCACCTACAGGTAACGTGGCTTTGTCTATTATTGTTTCTGTGTGAGTTCATTCAAGAGAATAGTGATTGTCTATTTTCACCCACATTGTTGTTGGCACATTTAATGCACTGGATGAGATACACCACATGCTGTGATAGGAATGTGTAGGACCTATGAGTCTTAAAAGGTGTGTTGTGGGTGGTATTGATCATTGCAACAGTGGAGCTGTGTCTGCAGGTTTTACATCTGTTTTTCCGGCAGGGTGTGGTATTGGTGTGGGGGCAGCTTGGTTCTGATGATGAGGTTGGGGCAGTTGTTTGAAGGCCAGAAGGGGGATCAGGAAAGATTTATATCAATTATTGGCTGTAATTGTTTGATACCCCATGTATGGTTTCCAAGGTGGGATGATTGGTGACAACAACTAGGGGTGTGTGGTCAGTGAGTTATTTTGTTTTCTGTATTGAAACAGGTTCTCCCTGGGTATTTGGGTGTCCCTTTCCATGATGTGATCTACATCTCTGGTGTTGTGTCCTTGTTTAGTGGAGGGGGTGTTAAGAATGTTTAGGTGTGTATCCCAGACTTCCTTTACAGAGCATATTCTGTGGTATCTGAGTGCCTGGCTGTAGATCAGATTTCTTGGTATGTCTGGGTGGTTGCTGGATCTGTGGAGATAAGTGTGGTGATCTGAGGGTTTCTCGTCTATAACTGTGTCTCGTGTTCCATAGTTGAAGCTAACTGCCTGGACAATGCAATTGATGCTGGTGTGGCAGTGTTCTAGAGAGAGTTTCCTGGATGGGTTGTAGCTGTTGAAGTTATGGTGGAAATCTGTGAGGGAGTTTAGGTCATCCATCAAGAGGATGAAAATGTCATTGGTTTTAGGGTGTATTTTTCCAGAACTTCTTCCTCAAGGTGGCCCATGAAGATGCTGGCATATTGGGGAGCCATCGTAGTACCTGTGGCTATTCCCATGGTTTGGACAGTGTTTGTTGTTAAATATGAGGTTGCTGTGGGTGAGGGTAAAATGGATGAGTTTGGCTATATGTGTTGGGTACATTTCTTAGAGCTTTACATTATTCTGTAAGTATTTGAGGCAGGCAGTGATGCCATCATGGTGAGGGGGTGCTGGTGCATAGGGAGTTGACATCCATGGTGGCAAGGATGGTGTTCTGGGGGAGGTTGTTAATGTTGCAGAGTTTCTGGAGGAACTTGGTAGTGTCTTGGAGGAAACTTGCGGTGGTGAGCGGATTGAGGATGGTTTCTGAGAATCTTGAATTTGCTTGAGTGAGAGTGCCAGGGCCAGATACGATAGGTCTGCCTGGGTTCCCCTGTTTGGGTATCTTGGGAGGCAGATAGAAGTTCTGTGGGGAGGGTTTGTGGGGGATGACATTATAGCGCTTTTCTTGGAGCTGTTTGGGGAAAGATTTGACAGTGTCTTTAAATTCCTGTCTGACTTATGGTGTGGGGTGTGGTTTTTAGCTCTTTATAGTAGGTGGTGTCAGAGACTCATCTGTTTGTCTTGTTGACACAGTTATGGCAATTAGGAACTACAGTAGTGCCACCCTTTGTCTACTGGTTTGATCACTATCTGGTGCTTGGATTTTAGGGACTATCCCCTGAGCAGTAGAGAGACTGCGGTAGATGTCATGCATGTCTGAGGATTTCACAGTTGATTTTTTTCCCCTGAAGCAACCAATGTAATGATCCATTGTGTGGTTTTCTCCGCTGTGCGGTGTCCAGTTAGATGACTTTTTTCTTATGATTGCAGTGGATATGTGGTAGTTGTGAAAGATTTACTTAAGGCAGAGTTGGCGGAAGAATTCTTCTAGTTCTCTAGGTTAGTATTAGTAGAAAGCATCAAAGCAGGAGAGTGGGACAGTCAAGCTCATGGACTAAGCAGCTTCTAATGGAGGCATGTTTTGGGGAAATGTGGTGCTGAACCGTTGGTATTTGGGTAGATCCAGCACATTTCCTTACAGGCTCATCGTAAGTTAGCAGCAGTTACTGCTGGAATGAATATACCCTTCTGTTACATGCAACATGGAAACACAAACATAAATTTCAAAATCAGATTAATTTTATTTTCATTCATGTCTTGGCACTGGCGGTATGAGCTGGGAGTCTGCAGAAAGAGAAACAGAAGAGCCCATCCAAAGCCTCTCAAATCAAAATGGCTCCAGTGGATCAGCTATTTTTTTTTTCAGCTGATACTTGATGAGTTCTGGCTCCAGTGGGTCACGAGTTAAGGTTTGTACCACGTACAAGTGTACACACTCATCGGTGCTGTCGCTGATGGAGACCTGAAAGACAAGGAGAATGGGACAACCATGGACTAAGCAGATTCCAGTGAAAGGATGTTTTGGGGAGATGCAGTGCTGAACTTTTGAATAGTTACAAAATAAGAACTAAATCACACCCACTATCCTTCAATACCCTAAAGCTATAGAGACTGTCCCATTTCATACCACATGTGTGAGCAGAGACAGGCCTTTTTGTCCATGGTAGTGTGTCCCTGATGATCAGTGGAAGTAGAAATTTTATTCCACATTCACAAGGCTAAATTCCATTGGTATTCACAAATGCCACTTCCATTAGTTGCTCTGGCAGTTGCACCTATTTATGCCTGGACTGAATTTAGGCCAAAGTCTTTATACCCAAAAAATATCCTTCCCACTCAACTCCTTCATCTTCTGCTTTTTGCACATAACTGTGGGGATCTGAGTGAAGTCAATGTGAGTTTGCCTTCAGAAAATCTGATGGTTAAACCCAAAAGTTTTCCATCAGTTTTTCCAATGGGAAACTCTCTCATTGATTTCACTCGGATCCCATGCCTAGTCCGGCTGTGAAAGAATTAACCCCTTTTTTGCTGTAAGAAGGCCATAGCAGTTTTCAAAGACTCTCAGAAAGGGCAAAGAAAGTTGGAAAAAAGGAGACTTTTCATCAGCCTCTGTACAAGAAGTCAGTTGACTAAAGCCACAAAAGAGGCATGTAGTGGGAAGAAATCCTCCTGTTGGACTTTCCAAGGTCTAAGGGTCTATTTAAGTTTACAGAAAGGGCTGAAGATGTGTTTGGAATTTTTGTTGGATCTTTGCCGAGCTAACGACCATACCCAAAGCAAACCACCATCAGAGTGGAAATCAAGGCCCGGATGACTGGTGGATAGAAAGCTGGCTAGATTGTTGGGCTCAACGGGTAGTGATCAATGGCTCCATGTCTAGTTGGCAGCCGGTATCAAGCGGAGTGCCCCAAGGGTTGGTCCTGGGGCCGTTTTTGTTCAATAGCTTCATTAATGATCTGGAGGGTGGCATGGATTGCATCCTCAGCAAGTTTGCAGATGACACTAAACTGGGAGGAGTGGTAGATAGGCTGGAGGGTAGGGATAGGATACAGAGGGCCCTAGACAAATTAGAGGATTGGGCCAAAAGAAATCTGATGAGGTTCAACAAGGACAAGAGCAGAGTCCTGCACTTAGGACGGAAGAATCCCATGCACCACTACAGACTAGGGACCGAATGGCTAAGCAGCAGTTCTGCAGAAGAGGACCTAGGGGTTACAGTGGACGAGAAGCTGGATATGAGTCAACAGTGTGCCCTTGTTGCCAAGAAGCCTAATGGCATTTTGGGATGTATAAGTAGGGGCGTTGGCAGCAGATCAAGGGACGTGATCTTTCCCCTCTATTTGACATTGGTGAGGCCTCATCTGGAGTACTGTGTCCAGTTTTGGGCCCCACACTGCAAGAAGGATGTGGAAAAATTGGAAAGAGTCCAGCGGAGGGCAACAAAAATGATTAGGGGACTGGAACACATGACTTATGAGGAGAGGCTGAGGGAACTGGGATTGTTTTGTCCGCAGAAGAGAAGAATGAGGGGGGATTTGATAGCTGCTTTCAACTACCTGAAAGGGGGTTCCAAAGAGGATGGATCTAAACTGCTCTCAGTGGTAGTGGATGACACAAGGAGTAATGGTCTCAAGTTGCAGTGGGGGAGGTTTAGGTTGGATATTAGGAAAAACTTTTTCACTCGGAGGGTGGTGAAGCACTGGAATATGTTACCTAGGCAGGTGGTGAAATCTCCTTCCTTTGAGGCTTTTAAGGTCAGGCTTGGCAAAGCTCTGGCTGGGATGATTTAGTTGGGGACTGGCCCTGCATTGAGCAGGGGGTTGGACTAGATGACCTCCTGAGGTCCCTTCCAACCCTGATATTCTATGATTTAGGACACAAAGCCCTTTCCTCAGTATTTCCTGTTGGCTAACTTAGGCAGCTCCTCAGTCAGTGAGCAGATTTTTGTGAATCCCAGTCTTAGGTACCTAGCTTTCCCCATCCATTCTGTAGGGAACCTGAACACCTAATTCAGGGTTTGTGAATTCCACAAGGTTACTTGGTGCCTAGAATTTAGGCACTGAAATGCCCAGATACCATAGAAAACCTCTCTATCCAAGTCCTTCAAGCAACTGCCCTCATTGACAATCCAGTGGGAAACTTTGCACGTTGGAAAAAATAACCCCAACTATACATACAATATGATGGGGGCTAACTTAACTACAACTAATCGGGAAAAAGATCTTGGAGTTATCGTGGATAGTTCTCTGAAGACATCCATGCAGTGTGCAGCGGCAGTCAAAAAAGCAAACGGGATGTTAGGAATCATTTTAAAAGGGATAGAGAATAAGACGGAGAATATCTTAACGCCCTTATAAATCCATGGTTCGCCCACATCTTGAATACTGCACACAGATGTGGTCTCCTCATCTCAAAAAAGATATACTGGCATTAGAAAAGGTTCAGAGAAGGGCAACTAAAATGATTAGGGGTTTGGAACGGGTCCCATATGAGGAGAGATTAAAGAGGCTAGGACTTTTCATCTTGGAAAAGAGACTAAGGGGGGATATGATAGAGGTATATAAAATCATGAGTGGTATAGAGAAAGTGAATAAGGAAAAGTTATTTACTTGTTCCCATAATATAAGAACTGGGGGCCACCAAATGAAATTAATGAGCAGCAGGTTTAAAACAAATAAAAGGAAGTTCTTCTTCACTCAGCGCACAGTCAACCTGTGGAACTCCTTGCATGAGGAGGTTGTGAAGGCTAGGACTATAACAGGGTTTAAAAAAGAACTGGATAAATGACCCCTACGTTCTTCAACGAGAACACTTGACAAAATCCCCCACTTCTTCCATCCTACATTGATTAGTCACCTTAATGAGGTAGTGTGTTCCACCACACAGGGTCAGCTGTCTACATATTACAGCTACAAAGACTGGATATTCCTTATGCACTTTTTCTTCCAGCTGTGGCTTCACCTATAAAAAAGAAAGAGGGTTAGGTGTTGTAATGGGGTCATCATATCCCTTCTCATCATATGTCTACAGCCTCCGTTTCCCCTTCTCAGAATGCACATAGACCTACATACAACATTTGCTTTCTTTGGGCCTTGCTTATTAATAAACAATTCAACTCAACTCAGATCTTCCAGCCTTACTCGCTAGGCTCCACAGTTCCTTGCAGCCAGGCTTCACAGCCCTGTCAAAACTAGGATTGCTGCCTGGCCTTTCCTGAAATACCTCTCACCTGAAGCTCCTGCTCTTTGCAAACATCTCCCACCAAAACCCATATCCATCCACTGGTCCTCAGAGTCTGTCTGGCCCAGCTCCCTCTTAAAGGAGGCACCACCTCCAGTTTGCCATCACATGACACTAGGTCACTGTGACACAGAGGCCCATTGGTGCCAACAGGCAAAGGGTTCACTGTTCTTTACAAGCAACCCCTGTCTCAGACCTGACAAACTCACTACACCTAACACACTTCTTTCATGGTATTTATCCATGAAGTGTAGCATGTGAGGTCCCTGTTGAAAATTTGTAACATCAATACCCATAAGCATTGTGAGATGTTTCCATGGGTGATATTTAAGGACTAATTTAGCTATATTGAAAATTATGCCCTTATGGTTTTGGAGGGAAAGTGAATCACCAGAGAATAATATGTCTCAGTCATAGCCAATTCAAGCAGGAGGGAATTTTCACCTGTCTTGGGCTAGCCGATTATATATTGCATTATTGTCTGCCTTGGCACCAACCCAGAAAAGCAATGGGAAATCATGAAAGACAAACTAAGCATCAAAACCAGTTGCAAGTGAAAAGGAACAATATGATAGTGAGTGGATCGCCCTGTCTGTGGATAAAAACAGAAGACTGATTCAGTATATCACAGGGTGGAGAAAGACACTCTGCATCCATTCACTGAGGTAGCACCTTGATGAGTGGGGGAGCTTCCTGCAAGACTGGGTCTTTGTGGCTAACAAATGCTGTAAAAGACTGAACTGTGTGGTGAGAATTTTTTCTATTAAATAGGAAAGGTAACTATTAATAAGTGTTTTAAGATTTTCTTTTATATGGAACCAATTGTTTCCATCACTCACACTTTATTCCTGGAGGAATTCTGCGCTACTGCATGCCTGCATGATTAATGAGCCATGCATATTTTAAATTTTTTCTGCGAAGAAAAAAGCTGCTGCTGCAATATTGCTGCCCTTCCACCTTTTGCCCACCAGAGGGCGCTGTGGCACTAGAACAGCAGCAGGTCCCAGCAGAAGATAACTTCTCCAGTTTCTCCTTTAGCCCACCACAGGGTGCTGTGGTGATAGAACACAGCAGCAGCTCCCAGTCAGCTATGGAAGAGAAAGAGCCTGCCTTCTTTGCAGCACCTGTCAGGCCAGGTCAGAAGATAGTGGCTACGGGGAGACAGACAGCATGGGTTGCTGGCGAGGGGTTAGACAGGGGCTCATAAAGGCTCTTGGGGGAGGACATACTGGGGCAGGGGATGAATGGGAGTGGAGGCACAGGGCCACAGGTGGGAGGGAGGTGCAGGGCCACCTGATGGGGTAGGGCTGCAGAGCTACATAGGGACAAAAGATGGCTGAATGGGGGCACAGAGATGCACAGGGACAGGGGGTGGTTGATTGGGTCACAGAGACACATGGGGATGAGGTGCAGGGACACATAGGGACAGGGGTGGCTGAGTGGGGGCACAGAGGCACATGAGAACAGGGGAAGGGGTACAGGGACACATAGGGACAGGAGAGTGGCTGGGTGGTGGCACACAGACACATAGGGACAGAGGGAGGAGGTGCAGGGCAACATGGGGATGGGGGGAGTGGATGTCTGAGTGGGGGTGGAGGGACACGTGTGGACGGGGGTGCAAGGACACATGTGGGTGGAGGATTACATGGGGACAGGGGCAGATGTGCCTGACTGAAAGGGAGAGGCTAGGGGTCAATCAGGCTCTGCATGGGGAAGCTCCCTAACAATCCCTCCCCGAGCCCTCAAAAAAACTATTCCATACTTTTCCCACCCATACCCAACAACCCTCCAAGTTCACATCCAGCCTCCTTCCCAGCAATTTACTTCCCTCTCCCTCACCTCCTCTGTTACCCCTGACTCCGCCAAGCCTTTGCACTGCTTCTGAGGGGTGCGGGAAATATGGTTCTCTATTGTAGTTTAAATGAATTATTACTCAGCGTTCTGTATTAATATGCCTAGTAAGGAATCTATTTGTCAAAAAACATTTCCTGAATTCTTTTTGTTGTCTGTATGGTTACAGACATACTTGCTGACAGGCATTTTGAAATAAATGACCAAAATAATTGAAACTAGTGTGATTATATTGTGTTATTTTGACAAACAAAATGTGCAGAATTTTGCAGAATTTTAAAATATTGTGCGCAGAATTTAATCTTTGTTGCAAAATTTTTAATTTTTTGGTGCACAATTTCCCCAGGAGTAACACTTGTGTCTATTTGAATCTGTTGTTCCTTAAATATTTTGTTTGTTTGTTTTATTGAAAGTGAACTCAAGTGGTGGGTGTGCTACACAAGTAGTAATCTAAGGTAAAACTGGGGTCCAATGTTCCTTTTGGAATGGAAGATCTGGAATTTCTGTGGGTATCTGGGGATCAGGGGCTGGATGTCACAGGGGGACACTTTGAAGGGACTCAGGGGCTAGGGTGTATCTATTTGTCAATCTGCAGGGCAACGGAAGGGCTGGCACAGCCCAGAGGAGGGTGCCTGAGTGGCTGACGGGCTGGTTGTGTGAGATAGCTAACAGCCAGCTGGCAAAGGCAGGACTCCTTTTTGCAGGAGGCAGATTTAGGTAGATGTGTTTATGCATAGGAGCAACTTTAAATGCTGTGGATTTTTAAAACTTGTTCAGTGCCAGTACTTCAAAAATATGATGTGGAATAAGGAGTGTTTCCCACTGTAACATATAGCTGAAGCGAAGGGAGGTTTAGAGCTCATCAGTGAATTGACAGTGACATTATCAATGACCTTTTCAAAGGCTAAGTACCAACTGTGACAGTTCAGAGCAACTGCACCTGCAGTCCCCCCTTGTGTCCACCAAGGGCACCCATTCGAGTCCCCCAGCTCCTCAACCGTCACCTCCCTTGGGCAAAGGCAAAGGCCCATGTCTCTCTCCCTCCTGACCAGCATGTTCAGGCTGCACAGCTTCTTGAGCTACCCTGTCATATCTCCAGCAAGCCAGACTGCCTAAACAGACCAGCCTCTGTGCTGCTTTCTCTACACAGGCTATGAACAGTGGCGTGCCAGCAGTGACAGGTTATCACACAGCTCTTTCTAAGCAGGCATATTTATTCTTAAGGTAAAACATTAACACAATGAAAACATACAAACTCGCTAGCAAGTTCACCAGAGGTAACTCTAGCTCCACCCTAGGGCTCTGGTAGGTTAAGTCCTTCCACAAGGATTGTGCCCCACCACTTGAACGGAAGGTCCGTTCCCTTTGCTGGATCAGAAAAAAGGCCATGAGTCAGTTAAAACTCAGGCTATTTATCCAAAAATCTTTTTTTTGTCTGTTGGTCTGTGGAGAATCCAGTTTGTACCAGTAAATGCAAGCTTCTCTCCAGCTGGTGGTACCTCTCTGGAGGTGTTACTACCTGAGTGAATTTGCCTATCCATCCCCCACAGTTCTTAGTTCCTGGAGGGCTGTTGTTCCCCTCCCGCATGGAATTATTTACAATCCCTCAATAGTACATAAACTTTTGCATTTTTAATACAATGAATGCCTAAAATACTTCAACTTAATTCCAGGAGGTAAGTCCTGGCTAGTGTCATATCTGTTACAACTAAGTCACTTTTGAAAATTTTCCCTAAGATGCCTATGATCAGCCTCACCTGATGACACCTAAAACCCTGTCTACACAGGTGCTTCTACGACTACTACACTGCTACTACCAGAGAAACTGCACTGGTAGTTTATTAGGCAGTGAAGACTTTTTCGTTCATATATTGCTATCTGCACCACAGCTGTGAATGTCTCTAGCGCTCCCAGAAGACTGGAAAGCAGAAGGTCAGAAGACTGGAAGAAAACTAATGTGCCAGTATTTCAAAAGGATCAATGTGATAACCCAGACCACTATAAGCCTGCCAGTCTGACATCAATCTCAGGCAAGATATTGGAGCAGATGATACGGACTTGATTAATAAAGAATTAAAAGGGGATAATATACTTAATGCCAATCAACGTGGCTTTATGGAAAATAGATTCTGTCAGACTAACTTGATATCCTTTTTTGATGAGATTATAAATTTGGTTGATAAGGGTAATAGAGTTTATGTAATAGACCTAGACTTCTGTACGGCATTATACCTGGTACCACATGACATTTTGATTAAAAAACTAGAATGATACAAAATTAACATGGCACACATTACATTGATTAAAAGATGGAAAAGTTCTATGCCTGTGTTATACAGGAGGTCAGACTAGATGGTCCCTTCGGGCCTTGGTAGATACGAATCTAAGAATTTCACGGACTTGACTTAGTGCAGTCCCTTTCGAAGCAATTTTTCCATGCCACATACTGCATGCTTCTAATCAATCAAGAGGGCTTCCATTTTCAGTGCTGGATGTTAGATTTTAAAGTAAGTTGTAGCTTCATTCCCTAATCTCTCTAGAATTGGCTTTAAAGACGTACACTTTTGTTACATTTGTTTCTGTTGTCTATCTTTCATTGCATGCCACTCACCTTGTTAGTAATTTCTTGGATTTGTGGGGTTGCACGCAAGGCCTCCGACCATTCTCCAGTATTTTCTGATGACATGCTGGAAAACTTTGACAAGGAAGATCTAGAGCAAATGTAATCAGAGAATAGTCAAAGATCTGATATTACGTAGTCACATAATCATGTGATTTGTATATGTGGAGTTTACCATCATCAGGTTTGAGGAGGGGAGAGAAGGGAACAAAGGAACAACACAAAACAAAAGCAAAATTTTTGTATTGTTAATAGTAAGGGAAAGAGCACTTTAAATATCACTATGTGTAAAATGCTCTGTGAACACATGAAAAGCAGAAAAAAAATAACACCCAACTCCCATAGTTATGGTGATTGGTTCAGCCTGAGATGGTAATTTCTGGACTTATCACCAGTTTGAGCACATGTAATGGGTGGGTGACTGTTCTTGTGCTTAGGGAAGTGATTGTAAACACTGAGCTATGCCCAAGTATATCCCAACGTTAGCCTTAAAACTACCACACGTTCTCCCTTGTTTTCATTGCAGCAATTCCTGTTTAACTTAAAATGTGGTTTTCTCTGTATTCTTAGATGGGCAAAGGCAGTAGGCCTTTTATTGTAATGATTTTATTTCTCTATTTTTCATTACAAAGCGGAAAGATTTTCCATTTCTTTAAAGGACAGAAATAAGAGTGCTGATATATGCTGCCTCCTTACCTCTCCCCATCCCCTTCCCCCCGACCCCTGTGTTGTAGTTTTTATTTGCAGAAATATGACCCACACTTCAAAAGGAGCATGCAGGGAAATTTCTCTCTCAAAATTTTTATAAAACCTATGGACGTTTAGCAATTAGTCATCTTTGTTTTCAGTTTTTGGCCAGGAATAAGGTGTTCTTTTTCTGCATAATTCCTTACTAATCTTTAGAAGAATGTCCCTTATTCCATTTACTCAAAGTAATATATTTCTTCACAGCCTTTTATATTTATTGGAAATTAGCACCTATTGGCTTAAACTTTATCAGAGGCCTCTTAATTTTAGTAAAGTTTTTGAAGGACAGATAAATTTAAAAGAATATTTTAGCAAAACATACAACACACAAACACAACACCCGCCCACCCCCTATTCTGCCCTATTTCCCAAAACAATTCAGCATCTATTCAAGCCAACTTGTGTCCTATTTGACAGATAAACCATTGAAAACACACATTCAAAATAACTGTAGCCACAGAGGGAGGCCACACCGCCTCGCTGTGCCACCTAGCAGTTGATGCCAAAGGAGGGGGATTAGCTTGGTAAGTGTCAGCAAAGAGTCTAGGGCCCTGGCCTCTTGGGGTGGGGCAGAGCAACTGGCAGTGTTTAGCCCACCTGCCTGACTGGGACAGACAGCAAACACAGTCAGGCTCAAGCCCTCTGGGTGGGGCAGAGCAGTAGCAGTCGATGACCCAGTTCTCTGGCTGGGGCAGACAGCAGACAAACACAGGCCGTCCGGCCTAAGGTGGTTAGGCACCACCCCATGGGTAGGGTTGGCAGCAGGGGATAGGGGGACCCTGGCCCACCCTACTCCACCAGCTCCCAGCCCAGGGTCCTATTAGTGGTGGGGAATCCTGCCACGGGGTCAGTGGGGATCCTGCGGAAACATGCTGACTGTGGTTTCAGCAACACAACGGGACTAATGTCCAGTTTACCTGGGCTACTTTCTACCCCTACCTCTTTGCAGGGTTTTGTTGCTCCTGGGTCCTCAGTCTCCTTTGGGTACACGGCATCCAGCAGTCCCAGCAGCTCCTCGGGGTACTTGGCCAACGGCAGTCTTAGCAGCTCCTCTTCCTCTGGGTCCTGCTCCACGGGCAGAGGTTGGCACAGCTCGGTCCCTGGTGCAGGGGCCAGCAGCAAAGCAGAGGCATCCAGCTCCTTCCCTGATTCTGGCTCAACTTAGCTGGAGGTCCTGCCTCTTATACTTCCTGTTCCCTCCCTCTGCTTCCAGCATGAGGGGCAGACCCGGCCGGGCTCCACACACGAGAGGGTGGGGCGTGGTTCCTCCCTGTCAGCCTGGGAGGGAGGCCACTCCACCTCACTACGTATTTTATAGATAAATCACCCATTCACACACACATTCATATTTGTTGTTCAGGATTGTTTTATACCAAACACGCAATACATACAGCCTAACTTAAAAGAAATCTAACTATGTAAAATTAGCTAATACACCCCATGTAGACAAAATTATGGTTTTGTTTAAGCTATTTTATGTAAAACAGTTGATTGCACATTTTTATCAGGGATAAGGCTACTGCTATTCCCCCTTGTGACACTGCACCCCATACTCTTCATAGAGATATTATGATATGATTATGGCATAATTATGATGTATTTTATGCAAGATCAGTTGTGAGATAGCATTGAAAAGGTTATGATTTACTGAACATGATTACCCTATTTGCATACATGTATCATTTTTGTATCTGAAGTTAGGAATATTGACTATGTATCTGTGTTACAAATGTGTTTTCCCCGGGAAACACCCACTGGGCAAAAGGTGCTCAGTCTAGATGGCTGGCAGGAAAGGGCCCATTCAGGTTAATGAGCCATTAGAAGAAAAAAATAGGTCTTAGAAGAAACTTATCTCCCACTGAGGGGCCTTCCTGAGTATGCTACAAACAGCCTCCGATTCATGGCTGCTGTGACACTACAGGAACATGTGACCAGGTCACCTGGGACTGGACTTCATCTTGGGATATCAGCATGGCTGGTATGGGAACCAAGTTTGGAAACAAAAGGTTCCTGCCATATGCAAAGTCTATTTCAGGCAGGGGTGTGACATAATTGAGGTTTTTCACTGACTCCCCTGCCAAAGAGACTCCTGGAAACACCTGAGGAACAAAGACTGAACTGGGGCAAGTGCTGGATCCAGGTTAGAGGAATTTTTAGCCTGTGAGTGGAACACCTGGGGATTCCAAGCTGTAAGTTAGTGCAGCTTGCCCCCTTAAGAATATGCAACCTGCTTGTATCATCACTAGGGTGAGGATTTGCTATTCATATCCCATCTATGTAGTATATTAAACTTAGTTTCTGTCTTTTGTTTATTTGCTAGGTAATCTGCTTTGATCTGTTTGCTATCCCTTATAATCACTTAAAATCTATCTTTTGAAATTAATAAACTTGTTTTATGTTTTAATCCAAACCAGTGAGCATTTAACTAAGGTGTCTGGGAAAAAATCTTAGCTCAGTTACCACAAGTGTACATGGTCCTCTTCACATTGAGGGAGAGGCGGACTGTGTGTTAAACCCATATACTGGCTAGATTGGACCTGGAGCAGGATGTTACTGCGCTGGGGTCCTAAGATGGGAGGCTGGTGGTTAGAGAGCCTGCATGTAACTGCAGCTGGGTGTGTCCCTACCTTTGTGAATGCTGGTGAAAGTGCAAGCCTGGAGGGCTTTGCAACTTGTCACAGCAGCACAGTGTGAGAGGGAGCCCAGTCTGGTAGTCAACGGGCTCAGGGATACCCCAGTTCCAGATGGCACCCCACAGGCAACCCGTCCCACCCCTCAACACACACATGCACACAGCACCAATGTCCACCCATCGCTCCTCCTTTCCAAAACAATTAAGCATACACTCAAGCCATCTTGCATAAATAAACCACCCTACACATACATTCAAACTTGTTTTATAGTTAAGGTGAACACACACATTTGTACTTGCTGTTCAACATTATATTATACAAAACACGGCCTAACTTACAATCTGTAATTACCTACAGGGCTCTTCTGTGTAGTAGAGCAGTGGGTTTCAACCTTTCCAGACCACTGTACCTCTTTCAGGAGTCTGATTTATCCTGTGTACCCCCAACTTTCACCTCATTTAAAAACTCCTTGCTTATAAAATCAGACATAAAAATGCAAAATGTCACAGCACGCTATTACTGAAAAATTGAAATTACTGAATTTTTTTTTCTCATTTTTACCATATAATTATAAAATAAATTGACTGGAAGATAATTCTTGTACTTACATTTCAGTGGGATACTTGAGTCTGTTTTTCACTTTTCAGAGGAACAGCCGTGTTAGTCTGTATTCGCAAAAAGAAAAGGAGTACTTGTGGCACCTTAGAGACTAACCAATTTATTTGAGCATGAGCTTTCGTGAGCTACAGCTCACTTCATGAAGTGAGCTGTAGCTCACGAAAGCTCATGCTCAAATAAATTGGTTAGTCTCTAAGGTGCCACAAGTACTCCTTTTCTTTTTGTTTTTCACTTGTGAGCCTTGTCATTCTGGGAGGCAGTGAAACGACAGCAACAATTAAGGTTTTTCTCTACATTGAGTCTGTTGCTACTCTTTGTCTTGATGGCAGTCAAGGTAGAAAATGAGACTTCACAAAGATATGTTGACCCAAAAGGTAACAGAACATCCAAAGCATGATTCCCAAGGTCAGTGAGCTCTTTCTGTACTAAACACCAGAACTGGGTTAGTGTGGAGTCATTAAACTTCATTCACAGCCCACGGTCTGAGGCCAGCTCAAGAAGATTTTCTTGCTGACTGGCATTGAGGTTACTGTGGCTAACATCTGACAAAATGAATGTCTGTCTTACGCAGTCAAGTTGAGCTGAGCTGTGTTCAATGTTGGGGGAATATGACTTGACCTCAGATGTCAAGTTGGCCAAATGATCTACTATTATTTCTTTAATTTTGCTCTATTGAATTTCTCCTGTGCCAACATCAGTGACATATGCATGGAGTAGTGGAAAACATGTGGAGTCTTTATCTGCACATGTGAACTTCCAGAATTCAGGTTTTTTGATCAAAGCATCCACATTGTCATAGAGATTCAGAATGTTAGAGTTGCGGGCTTGCATGGACAAATTTAGATCATTCAGCTTGCTAAATATATCTGCAAGGTAGGCAAGTTGAGCTAACCACACAGTATTGTGAAACACAGAGGAAGGTGGAAATGAATGACCAGAAAGAAATATGTGAACTTCTGTGCACAATTCCAACAGTCTGTCAAGTACTTTCCGCCTTGAAAGCCAGTGAATCTCTGTGTGACGCAACAGTTGCTGATGTTCTGACCCCATCTCTTTGCAAAGAGTGTGAAACAGGTGAGCACTGAGTGGCCTGGACTTGATAAAGTTGACAATTTTACATTTAAAACTTCATTCAGCTCAGAACTCATCTTTTTTGAAGCAAGTGCCTCTCTGTGTATGATTCAGTGCACTCACTGCAAGGAAGGATTTTCTTTTCTGATCCTAGCTAAAGTTTGAGGACGATACCAAGCAGTGGCAGTGGTGGTGGGGGGAGGGAGTGTTGCAAGTGCTTTGGAAGATAGGATTATAATTCAAAATGATCTGGACAAACTGGAGAAATGGTCTGGAGTATATAGGATGAAATTCAGTAATGACATATGCAAAGTATTCCACTTAGGATGGAATAATCAGTTGCACATATACAAAATGGGAAATGACTGCCTCGGAAGGAGTACTGCAGAAAAGGATCTGGGGGTCATAGTGGACCACAAACTAAATATGAGTCAACAGTAAGATATCATAGCAAAAAAAGCGAACATCATTCTGGGATGTATTATCAGGAGTGTTGTAAGCAAGACATGGAAAGTAATTCTTCTGCTTTACTCCATGCTGATTAGGCCTCAACCTGAGTATTCAGAGGAACAGCCGTGTTAGTCTGTATTCACAAAAAGAAAAGGAGTACTTGTGGCACCTTAGAGACTAACCAAGTTATTTGAGCATGAGCTTTCGTGAGCCACAGCTGTGGCTCACGAAAGCTCATGCTCAAATAAATTGGTTAGTCTCTAAGGTGCCACAAGTACTCCTTTTCTTTTTGCGAACCTGAGTATTGTGTCCAGTCCTGGGTGCCACGTTTCAGGAAAGATGTGGACAAATTGGAGAAAGTCCACAGAAGAGCAACAAAATCAGTAAAGGCCTAGAAAACATGACCTATGAGGGAAGATTGATAAAATTGGGTTTGTTTAGTTTGGAGAAGAGGACTGAGGGGGCACATGATAACAAACTTCAAGCACGTAAAAGGTCACAAGAAGAAGGGTGATAAATTGTTTTCCTTAACCCCTGAGGACAGGACAAGTAATTAGTTTAAATTGCAGCTCAGGAGATTTAGGTTAGACGTTAGGAAAAACTTCCCATCTCTCAGGGTGGTTAAGCACTGGAATAAATTGCCTAGGGAGGTTGTGGAATCTACATCATTGGAGGTTTTTAAGAGCAGGTTAGACAAACACCTGTCAGGATTATTCTAGATCAGGGGTTGGCAAACTTTTTGGCCCGCGGGCCACATCGGGGTTCAAAAACTGTAGGGAGGACCGGGTAGGGAAGGCTGTGCCTCCCCATACAGCCTGGCCCCTGCCCCCTATCCACCCCCTCCCACTTCCGGCCCCCTGACTGCCCCCCTCAGAACCACCGACCCATCCAACCCCCCACCGCATTCCCATCCCCTGACCGCCCCCTCCCAGGACCCCCCGCTCCTAACCGCCCCCAGGACCTCACCCCCTATCCAACCACCCCTGCTCCCTGTCCCCTGACTGCCCCAACCCCTATCCACACCCCCACCACCTGACAGACCCCCCGGGACTCCCACGCCCATCCCCTGACTGCCCCCACCAGAACCTCTGCCCCATCCAACCATCCCCTGCTCCCTGTCCCCTGACTGCCCCCCGGAACCCTCTACCCCTTATCCAACCCCCCCCCCCGCTCCCTGACCTCTTACCATGCCACTCAGAGCAGCATGAGCTTGCAGCCTGCCGTCTGGCCAGAGCCAGCCACGCCGCCATGTTCCCCGGCAGGAGCGGCGGGCTAGAGCGCCGGTGGTGTGGCGAGCTGAGGCTGCGGGGGTGGGGGGACAGCAGGGGAGGGGCCGGGGGCGATCCTCCCCAGCCAGGAGCTCAAGGGCTGGGCAGGACGGTT